TTCTAAGGGAATAGAGAGAGGGAGGCAAGTTGCAATAAGAGAGAAAAGAGAAAGATTTAATTGTGAGGTGTGTGTTGTATCATCTTATTGTGCCTTTATTTATAGTAGTAGGATAGGTTAAATCCTTACCCTTTTAGGATTACATCTCTAATAGAATATTAACTATTTCTATTCTAAATATGACTACAAAAAATGGACAAGAATTCTCTCATCTCCTCTTTCTATCCCCTCCTCTCACATTCTCTATTTTGTCTTTCTTTTTCTATAAAAAAATTAATATAAGATGTTGACGTGGCTTAATCGTGACCGTTCAAATAGGAAGGGAGGAAAGGGAAGGGGAGGGAAAAAAAAAGGGGGAAAGAATCCTACTCCACATTATTTTCTCACCCACTATAAAAAAAATAGGAAAACTAATTAAAAGGGCTTGAAAACTTTGAATGTTAACAAAAAACCATGTACTAACTTTATTTAATGGTTAGGACAAAGCCCAACTATGACAGCCTAACTATGACAGCCCGTCCCGAATTATTTGTACTGTAGGTGCGAAAAGACTAAAATGCCCTTGGACGTAATTGGTGTTGTGGGGTGTTGTTTTGTTGTTTTTGGTGGTTGACTCTATAGGACACACACACACACACACCCACACACACACTCCCGTGACTGTCTCTCTCTCTTCTTCTGTCAGACTTCATTCCATTTCCTTTGGAAAGGTAGGGACGAACTTCAAAACCAATCTTCCACGCACGGATCGACGTCTAGAAGGTAAGATTCAAACTCCTTGCAAGCTCTTGAGTTCATCCATACCATTTGTAAGACTTGAAACCTTCGAAAACCTCGAGAACCCTAACCCCAATTTTTATGCACTGTTTATGCACACGTGATCGTGAAGCTTTTTAGGAGTTTTTAAGGCCACTAGGAACTTTAGGAGGTCCTCACGAAGCTTGGAGAAGAAAGTTGGAAGGAATTGGACGTCAAGATCGTGAGTTGCAAGTTTGGTCGGAATATCGTGGGTTTTTCCGGCAAGATTCCGTTGGTTTTAGGGCTTCAAAGTGGTAAGGTTTTGTTCTACTCGTTGCAAACTTCAATTTGGTACCAATTTCATGGAATTTGGTTGAGAAATGAAAAAGATATGAAGTTTTGAAAAAAATTTCAGTTTCCGGCAACGCAGATGGCGGCGAACGGCGGCGGCCGGCGAGACTCACCGAAGAAGACAAGGGAATATTTCGTTAAGTTAACGGAATATTCTTAATGGCATCAGGTTAGTTTTAATGGAATATGCTTGCTTTTGGACGAAATATTCCCTAACGCCGTTAGGGATTCCGTCCGTGTGCCAGGCACGTGCCTGCGCGTGGCTGGCGGGTGGGGGTACGTGAGACGTCAGAAAATTATTTTAAAAATATGGGGATGTTCATGAGGTTGAGTAGATCACCTAGTTTTGGTTATGTGCTTTAAATTAATGTTTTTATAGTTGTTTCGCATATAGGTGAAACCTATTATGAGGATGAGCGTAGTCACTCGAGACAAGGGGGTTACGACCCTTCCACATACCAGTGAGTGGGCTTTTGGTTTTCTGTATATACCTATATACTTGTGGTTTTTCCCAAAAAAATGATATGGAATGTTTATATGTTTAAATGCCATGCATAGCGTTTGCCTATTTATTTATGCATTAGTACTTGCATATATGTATGTTTGGTGTTGTGGACGCACAGGTAAGTGCCAGGTAAGTTATAGTTTATAGTTGTGACGTAGTAGTTATGTGATATGCATACAGAGTTCATAACCTGCACCCCCAGTGTTAGTGCTCCCGCCCAGAGTAGGGCACAGTCCTTCACGTGATGTTCACTTCCCGCACCACACGCTCATCTTGGATCCAAGTTCGGTGCACAGTCCTGTCGTATAGACCACGCATAGCACTAGTCTTCACATGATCGTAGCACTAGAGCGATTATTATTACACCTAGTCTTGTCATACAGGTCACATTAGGTGACTCCGACTTGTGTGTTAGCATATGACTAATGAGCGATAGGTGCAGTCGTACAGGCCACATTAGGTGATTCCAACTAACATGTTAGTATAGATTACAGCACATAATCATATATATACTATTGCTGAGAATATCTGATGTGGCATACTTCTGGACTTACATTGAGCATGCATTTGATTTTCATACTTACATGTAGTATGATATTTTGGAAACTATACTTGTTTTGCAGTGAGGGGTTAGTATGATTGAAAGGTAAATGGATTTTATAAACCTTTATTTTTGTGCCCACTCACCCTTCTATTTTTCACCCCTCCATGTCCTAGTTAGCTGATTTTATCTCTGTGGCATACGAGGAATAACTGGTGGATTCTGACATATCTCCATCTTAATGTAGGAACTTATCTCTAGTTGTGTAATAAGTACTTTTCTCATTTGACTACTTTACCCTTATGTTATCTATGCTCTAAATATTTGTAGCTATGGGTTGTAACCACTTCTGCGTACTCACTGAATTAGTTTAATTAAATTCTAATTTCGGTTTTAACTTATTCACTATTTTCTTACATCACTTGCACTTTCGGCTACATCATCTTCACATGATAGCCGTGTGCCTTGATTTCGATTGGGGTGTGTCAATGTGGCTCTATATATTGCTTCAATTGCCTTACAGAAGCACCTGAGGTTCTCAATAGTAGTACTCTCCACAAGTCGACTATATTAGTTAGTTGAGTCTACAGAGCACCCATTAGCTAGCATTCGAAATGCAAATGTGAGCTTCTGATGAGGTGACAGACTTTGCTAGCCTACGACATCTATCTTCCTTGCAAAGTAGTGGTCATGATAGACAACTGCGTTCAAGATGTTTTCAAAAAGCTCTCTCTCCTCATCCGATACCACCTCCAAAAATCATGAAGAGGATATGTTGGATGTTCGATGAAATAGTTTTTCATCATCCGGTTATCATGCTAAACAAATGAATGCCCTGTGACAAAAACATGATAGCTAGATTCAGCATGGTGCTTATATTTCATAAGCGAGTTTGTAAATTCGGCTTCTTCGTTGTTCATTTATGCATCTCTAGTTGCAAGCCTTGCTTGGTATTGTGCCATATGCATTGTCAAGCTACGCTTTCTTCTATCACCCGTTGATGAGATATTGATGATCTTGGGAAAACAAAAACACTATGAAAGTTGAATGATTGGTGAATGTGTTGTATGATGGTTAGATATTCAATATATGCTTTTATAATGGACGGTTGAAGGTTTGTGTTTCATGTGTTTAGTATGTATTTTGTATGTGTTTCGTGTGGTTCATGTGTTATACATCTCTATCATATGTTTTGTATGTATTTCACATGTGTTTTGTGTGTTTCATGTGTTTTGTGTTTATATATCTCTATTATGTGTTTCATATTCTTACATTGTGTGTCATGTGTCGATTTAGTGATTTTTCAATATGTTAAAATGTTTATAAAATTAATTTAGGATAAGTCTACATCATTTTTTTTTTAAAGTTTATTTAAAAAAATTTTGGCTTATATTTATTTTTTTAATAACCTGGGGTTGAAATTTTAGCCCATAATCGTTAGAGCAGAAAAACAGTTTTTGGATTAAAACCTAATTTTTTTGGCTAAAAAATTTCGGTTTTAATCCAATAGGTTTACCCAAAAATTAGAGATGACCTAATAGAGATAAGACTCAAACGTGTTAGTGTGTCTTGTCTCCTATAGATGGTAGGCGTAGTACTAATCAAATTGCAAAGGTGATTTCCGAAACCCACACCGCTGTGATTCCCTATGCCACTTTCGCACCCCAAGAGACCAAGATCCAGTAAATCACGGATTCATGTTGGAGATGCAGCGAGCTTGCCTCGTACTATAGGTGGTTCCGACTCGTAGGTGACCCGCGATTATTCGCCCAGTCTTCATGTGATCGTAACACTTGAGCGTATTTATTTACACCCAGTCATGTCTTACAGACCACTTTAGGTGGTTCCGACTCATGTGCAGGTATAGTTAGTGAGTTGGGGATTTGAGCTCTAGATTCAGGCATACAGGTCACGCTAGGTGACTCCAGTTGACATTTTACTTGCATTGATTGACATTACCTGGGTTACTTACATTTTATGTGGAGGCATTCGACATGGCATATTTCTGAGCATGTTTTCAATATATGTGTATATTCTATTTTCTGGGAAACTATACAGGTTTTACGGCGAGGGGTTAGAACTTTTGATAATGAAATGATTTTTGAAAAGCTTTGTTTTTGCCCACTCACACTTTCTGTTTTGCACCCCTCTAGGTTCTAATTTAGATTGCTCTTTTGGTGGCTTACGAGGAATTCACGGTATATCTGACAAATTATCACCAGTGTAGGACCACCTCTGGGTGTGTTTAGTTAGTGTTGGTTTCTCTGGACTGCACTAGGCTTTCTGTGCTCTGGATATTGTTTTTTTTTCATACTTACACTTGCACTTGTGTGTTAACTACTCTATTTTGTAGGTTGGTTTTTATTTATTCATACTTTTATTGTTATCTTTTGCTTCGGCACTGTGCACATGGTTATGTCACCCTCATGTGACGACCAGCACGCCCTGATTTTGGTCGGGGTGTGTCACCAACACTAAACCAGTCCAATTAAAATGGGCCAAATATTGACTTTCCGATTTTGTCCCTGACAGCAAAGCCTATGTCCGTCTAATATCTTCATTTATGGATCTCTTTGGTATTCTCTTTCTCCCTCATTTATTCTTGGCATTCAAGACATTCCATTTTTCTTTCTAATCTCGCATCACAGCTCCATCTCTATCTTTGCCACTACGCAAAAACCACATATCCGGCCCCCAACCTTAATTTCCAGCCGTCTCCATCTCTATCAAAATCTTAGAGGATCTCTGACATGCAAAATGGTATGATTTTGTCATTCCCTTTTCAAAAATTTCTCACTCTGTCTGCCTTTTGTAAATATAAGAAAAGGACCTGGAGTTTTCACCATCGGCAAAAAAGCCAGCAATTGTTTTCACTCTCTCTCTCTTCATCTTTGCGATCTTTCTACTATTTTTGGTCTCTCGATTGAGCGTAATTAGCATCTAGAATGATGCATTTTGGCTTCTATTGCAGATCTTCTAAGCAAGGACAACAACTGCGATAAAAAATTTACCGTCTCGATTGTTCAGTGTGAAGTTGTTACTTTGTATTTTATTTCTCCCTATGCATCTCTTTTCTTTGTTTCATGTTATTATAGACTTAGATATTTATGTGCAATGCATCTAATATTGGCAAGGATCTGAGCACAAATCTCAGAAAACAAAGGTAGAAATCTTTGTCCTTGACTTTTTTATTCAAATTGTTGTGCTTATTGAGCGACAAAACAACCAATTTTTGATATATTTGTATGTATAATTTATGAATTGGGCATGAAAATTTATTTGGGTGAAGTTGAATTCTGCATATAAATTGATCGCCTCATTGGCAAAGACCATCTTTTCAAATGCAGTAGCATACTAATTAAGGCAAGGTGCTATTATAGGAGTCGAATTCTTGGTGCCATCATGTTTTGATTTCAACATATGCTTTGGAGACTTCTTGGTTCTGTATATTTTCCATCTCTTCCATTCATCTTTGAATGGTCCTCTAGCGGTTAGTGCTTTAACGATTTAGCACTAGTAAACTAAACCGAAAAAAATTTGGTTGTTTTTTATTTTTTTGCTTGGTTGATGAGAAATGATGAAAAAGTTGGTATTGAAATCTGTGTGAAATAGTGTATCTTGATTGGCACTTTGATGAAATTTGATCTGACAATACATGTTGCAGTGGAGGAGAAGCACATGCTCGAAGAGGAAGGGGAATGACCATAATGGATATAGCAATCAACAGGCTTATAAGATGCCGAGGGTATCTGCCAACGAGGAAAGAAAATCTAATGCATCCCATGGCACATGACGAACAACTCTTGTGGGGTACATTGGACCTCCATGAGAAGTGAAGCTATACAGGCAACATGCAAGCCTTAAACCTTGTGTTTATGGCCGTTCTCAGCTCCTTGGGGTTCTTAGGTTTTGTCGGATATACAACATTCGATTATGTAACAAGTAGAAATGTCTTCTACAAACAGGTTTCTTCTTTTCACAGATGTTGAATTATGTGTACAAATTAGAGCTTCAGCATCCGAAATTGATATTGCTTTCTGGACAAAATAACACACACTATTTTAGAACTATTGTAAAATAACCCACACTATTTTTGGAACTATGGCAAAATAATACATACTATTTTTGATACTGAACCAAAATAATTGAAATGTTATTTCTCCACTCACTATTTTTTCTTAAATGGTTATGTCTGAAACTGGACACGGGTACTATTTCTGAAACTAAACATGGATACTACACTATTTCTTAAATAGACTATTTCTGAAATTAAACACGGATACTACACTATTTCTTAAATTGAATACTATTATTTTTGAAAACTAAACACGGGTACTATCACTAGTTAAACTGAACACTGACTATTTCTTAAACCGACTATTTATGAAACTAACATGGGTACTACACTATTTATTAAACTCACTATTTATGAAACTGACACGGATACTACACTATTTATTAAACCGACTAACTCACTATTTATGAAACTGACACGGGTATTACACTATTTATGAAAATGATACGGGTACTACTATTTATTATACTAACTGACTAACTGTCACATCCCGACCTGGGGGGGACCATTTCCCGGGCCCACTCCACCACCGTAGCATGATATTGTCCGTTTTGGGCCCCAACCACGCCCTCACGATTTTGTTTTTGGGAACTCACACGAGAACTTCCCGATGGGTCACCCATCCTGGGAATGCTCTCACGCGCTACTCGCTTAACTTCGGAGTTCCCATGGAACCTGAAGCCAGTGAGCTCCCAAAAGGCCTCGTGCTAGGTAGGGATGGGAATATACATTTAAGGATCACTCCCCTGGGCGATGTGGGATGTCACAATCCACCCCCTTTAAGGGCCCACCGTCCTCGTCCGCACACCATGGCTAGGGTTACGCTCTGATACCAAACTGTCACATCCCGGCCAGGGGAGGACCACTTCCCGGGCCCGTTCCACCACCGTAGCACGATATTGTCCGATTTGGGCCCCGACCATGCCCTCACAGTTTTGTTTTTGGGAACTCACATGAGAACTTCCCGATGGGTCACCCATTCTGGGGATGCTCTCACGTGCTACTCGCTTAACTTTGGAGTTCCCATGGAACCCGAAGCCAGTGAGCTCCCAAAAGGCCTCGTGCTAGGTAGGGATGGGAATATACATTTAAGGATCACTCCCCTGGGTCACATCCCAGCCCGGGGGGGACCACTTCCCGAGCCCGCTCCACCACCGTAGCACAATATTGTCTACTTTGGGCCCCGACCACGCCCTTACGGTTTTGTTTCTGGAAACTCACACGAGAACTTCCCAATGGGTCACCCATCCTCAGAGTGCTCTCGTGTGCTACTCGCTTAACTTCGGAGTCCCTATGAAACCCAAAGCCAGTGAGCTCCCAAAAGGCTTCATGCTAGGTAGGGATGAGAATATACATATAAGGATCACTCCCCTGGGCGATGTGGGATGTCACAATCCACCCCCCTTAGGGGCCCGACGTCCTCGATGGCACACTACGACCAGGGTTAGGCTCTGATACCAAACTGTCACATCCCGACCCAAGAGGGACCACTTCCCGGGCCTGCTCCACCATCATAGCACGAATTGTCCGCTTTGGGCCCCGACCACGCCCTCACGGTTTTGTTTCTAGGAACTCACACGAGAACTTCCCGATGGGTCACCCATCCTAGGAGTGCTCTCGTGCGTTACTCGCTTAACTTCGGAGTTCCTACGAAACTGAAAGCCAGTGAGCTCCCAAAAGGCCTCGTGCTAGGTAGGGATGGGAATATACATATAAGGATCACTCCCCTAGGCGATGTGGGATCTCATAGATGGCCAGGGTTACGCTCTGATACCAATTGTCACATCCTTGCCCAAGGCGGATCACTTCCCAGGCCCACTTTACCACCGTAGCACGATATTGTCCGCTTTGGGCTTACCATTCCCTCACGGTTTTGTTTTTGGGAGCTCACGAGCAACTTCCCAGTGGGTCACCCATCATAGATTGCTCTAGCCCCCTTCTCGCTTAACTTCGGAGTTCCCATAGAACCCGAAGCCAGTGATCTCCCAAAAGGCCTCATGCTAGGTAGGGATGGGAATATACATTTAAGGATCACTCTCCTGGGCGATACGGGATGTCACACTAACTAACATAGGTACTACACTATTTATTAAACTAACTGACTATTTATGAAACTGAAACATGTACTACACTATTTATTAAACTCACTATTTATGAAATTGACACTAGTACTACACTATTCATTAAACTCATTATTTATGAAACTGACACTGGTACTACACTATTTATTAAACTGACTGACTATTTATGAAACTGACACATGTACTGCTATTTATTAAACTCACTATTTATGAAACTAACACAAGTACTACACTATTTATTAAACTGACTGACTCTTTATGAAACTGACATGGGTACTACACTATTTATTAAACTGACTAACTATTTATGAAACTGACATAGTTACTACACTATTATTAAATTGACTGACTATTTATGAAACTGAATAATAACTATTTTTATAAATTGGAGTTCATGCATGCATGCTTGCCCTTCTAATTAATAGAGGATAATGCTAAAGAAAACTAAATTTTAAACCAAATTTGCAAACCAAATGATAAGTACATTAATTAATGCGTAAATCATAATTCAATCATCAACATCATTTGATTTAAAAAGGAAGAAGATCGACTCGAGGCTCAGAGTACCAATCAGTGACAACCAATGGTACTTTTTTTTTTTTTTTTTTTCGAAGTGCCAAATAGAGGGACTGTCATTGGTTGGAAGAAAGCCAATACCACAAGGCGAACAGACAATCACATTTTAAGAATAACATTGACAAGGTTACTAATCCTTTTATTTAAGGAAGGAAGTCTACGATGATCACATAAAGCTTGGGGAGATTGGACCTTTTGAAAGCCCAAGGCAAACTTCCATATCATGATGTGTCCACATGCCGGAAGGTTTCAAATTCCCGAGGAGGGGGGGTCATTTAGGTAATCCTTAAAGTCAAAATCATCCAATCTTCCATTCATAGCTTCCAAACCCAACGTTGAAGAAGGAATTGGTCCGGCATGCATTTGGAATCGAGAAGGGAATCCATCTTCAGTGGAATCGCACTTCCATAAGTGGACCCCAAGATTTTTCCTATTTATCTGCTCCTGAGTTAATGTAACGACCCGTCCCCAAAAGTTACAGTCCTTATAAAATTTTAAATGTGAAATTTTGAAAATGTCATTTGAGGCAAATGCATTGACTTTTGTTGACCACCTTGTCTAGTTATGTAAGATTCATTTTCTTGGTGTATCCTTGTAGTACTCATCGTTACGGACGCATGGACGGAAACGGAGCGCAATTTGGAGTTATAACGCATGAGATATTAACGTTTTAAGTTGGGGGCATTTTAGTAAATTAATAAAGTTCAAGAAAGCTCCAGATTTTTGGATCTTAATCTGGACAGCCACGTGTGTGGTCTAGATTTAAAGAAAGAAACGTGTGTGGTCCAAATTTAAAGAAAGAAAAGTTGGGCAGTGCAGATGAAATATAAAAGAGAGAAAGGAGGGGCGGGACACCCAATCAGAAAGAAGAAGAGAAGAGGCTGGCCAATGAGAGAAGGAGGAAAGAAAGGGAAAGAAAAGAGAGAGGATGCAACCAACCCGGATCCCACACGACCTAGTTCCTAATCTGATGCTAGACCCGATCTTCTTCACCATTTTTCGTCGAGATTTTAGCCAAAATTCGACGAATTACACCGACACTTCTCTTATAATCAACTCCACGACCCTCCTTCTTCCTTTTAAACTCAAGATTCGATGTGTTTTCATCCAATTTGGTGAAGAACGACGTTGGGTGCGCTGAGGGTTACGTGGTGGCGATCCGTCATTTTTGAAGAAAATCCTGTCAACCACCACCATCATTAGACTTTTCTTTAGTTCAGGAACGAAGCCCAGGGTTTGTTGAGGAGTTAGAGTGAGTTTGGAGGCCGAATCAAGAATCACCCTTTATAGGGTTTCCAGTGGGTTTTCGTGAAATTAGGACATTTCCCGACCAAATTGGCTTTAGTCATAGGTATGAAAGTTGCTCTGTTCACTGAGATCTTCATTTCTGTGAAGTTTGAGAATTTTTAGAAATAGTTGAATTTTCCGATGAGTCGAGGCTGTTAATCGCCACTTGTGGCGACACGTGGGCTGAGATGTCCCCTGACCTTCCTAGGCTAAACTTGAATACCCTGATTCCATTGGTAAAGTCTGATTGATGAATTTCCGTCAATTGAGCGTAGTTCCATTAAGGTCAGCCGCTTGATTATTATAACAATTGACGATCCGACCGTTGGATCATCACCAAACTTTGACACGTTATAATACGTAATATTTGAGGATATTAGAAACTTAGGGATCAGGAATCCGACTTATGGATCTTCTTGAATAGGATATGTAAGTTGTAGGTTCTATTGATAAGAACTCTAAGACATGATTTGATAATTGTTCTATTCGCCAATTGTTCGTGACACCTTGATGTTGTGCTAGGGAGTTGTAGCGCGGACTCCAGGTGAGTGGGTTTTTGGTTTTCTATATATATATACACACACACACACGTATATATGTTTTTTTCCCAGAAACTATTTTGAAATGAGTGTATTCTTTTAAATGCCATGTCATGCTTGCATTTCATTTTATTATTTGCATTGGTATGTATATGCATATTATTGTATGACGCTGCGGAGGCCAGGTAAGTTTCAGGTGAGTATTGTATGATGTTAGTGGTTGCATTGGTTATGGTTATACATAAAGGCATGTAGAGCTCATTATCATGCACCCCGGTGTTAGTGCTCCCGTCCGTGGCCAGGGCACAGTCCTTCACATGATGTTCACCTCCTGCATCGCACGCTCACCTTGGATCCAAGTTTGGTGCATAGCCCTGTCATACAGACCACATTAGGTGGTTCTAACTCGTAGGTGACCCGCGATTATTCGCACAGCCTTCACGTGATTGTAGCACTTAAGCGTACTTAATTACACCCATCCCTGTCATATAGACCACATTAGGTGGTTC